ACTTTTTCTACTATACTAAATAACATTATTACACAACATGTACCTAAAGTGCAAGTCTGTGAAGAGCATAAATTATCACATAAAATACACTATCCTTATTATGTTAAAAGGTTGATAAACAACAAAGCAATGTCATGGAAAAGATCAAAAGTAACAGGTAAATCTAATGACAAAGCAGTCTATAAATCAATTGCCGCACAATGTTCTGATTCCATTAGAAAGTATCATGCAGCAAAAGAATTTAAGATGATACGCAAAGACAACCTTGGCAGTTTCTTTAATTTTGTCAATGGAAAGCTCAAAACCTGTAGTAAACTCAATGACATTAGTCGATCCGATAATACCCTTTGTCATGATAAAGAAAAAATATCCTGTATTTTTAAAAACTTTTTTGAAAGTATTTTTACAGTCGATAATGGTTTATCACCAAAGTTTACGGATCGTGTTAACGTACATTCAACTTGTCTGTTAATTTCTCTCCTTCTACAGTCGAAAAAACACTTAGAGCACATAAACCCACCACATCTACTGGTCTAGATGGCATTCCAAATGTTTTCCTAAAGAACTGTGCCACTAGTTTATCGATTCCCTTAAGCCATTTATTTGATACCTCATTTAAAGATGGTGCTATACCGCTAGAGTGGAAAGTAGCAAGCGTTATTCCAATTCACAAAAAAGGACCAACAGTTGACCCAGGTAATTATAGACCTATCTCCTTGACATCTACTTGTTGTCATGTAATGGAAAGAATCATTTATAGCAAACCGATTAATTATCTCTTACTCAATAAACAAATCACAAAAGAGCAGCATGGTTTTATTCGTAAACGTAGTACCTGTACTAATATTCTAGAAAGTCTTCATGACTGGACTTTAAATCTTCAGCGCCGTATTCCAACAGATATTATTTATTTCAATTTTAAGAAAGCTTTCGATTCAGTTTCACATCCTAAGTTACTAATGAAATTACCTGCTTACGGAATAGTTGGCAATCTTCTGAATTGGCTAACTAATTTTCTGCACATGATATCACAGGTGGCAAATTTAAACAATGTTACTTCCCATGCTATATCTGTAACAAGCGGTGTTCCTCAGGTGTTCTTGGACCTACTCTATTCTTATTGTTTATAAATGATGTGAGCCACATTAGTAAACAGCTTGATGTCAAACTTAAACTTTTTGCTGATGACATTAAATTATATTATAAAAAATGACATCTCTTAATAAAGATTTAAAAAAAGTAATTAATAGCAAAATCACAAACGTTTCAAATAAAACCGTTTATGTACAAGAAAATTTAGACGAAGCAAAAAACTTATGTCGCGAGCTAAAAGAAAAGATGAGAAAGTTTGAAGACAGAACTAGAAGAAATAACATAAGAATTTACGGATAACGAGAAAATCAACAAAAAACTTGTAAAAATACTGAACAAAAACTTCAAACATTTTTTAATAAACAGCTTCAGCTAAATAATATAGTAATAAAAAGAGTACACAGAATTGAAACAGTTTATAATAACATGGATAACCCAAGAGCTGTTATAGTTAAACTGTTAAATTATAATGATAAAAAACTAATCTTGAAAAATCCAAAGAAGCTAAAATGAAGAGGGATCTTTTTAAACGAGGACTTTTCGGAAGAAACAAATAAAACACGACATAATCTTACTAAGAAAATTGGAGATTCCAAAAAAATTCGGAAAATATGCAGTTTTAGCATATGATAAACTGATTGTGAAGGAGTTAACCCGAAATACTAAATACGTATCTTTATTTCTTTTCTTTATATTTAGTTTTTTATTATTATTAATTTAAAAATGGAAGGCAATTTGTGATTAAAATATTTTCCTGAAAAGTTAAGTCTCAGTGATAAAGGTACATATACAAAATACTTTGATCAAATAACATATGAAGGTAATAACTATTCGATTTGCCAAACCGCAAAGTATTTTCACCTAAACAAAGTCTCAAAATTCATTCAAAAACATTCAAAACTCATCTTAGGTCATTCTTAAACAAAATTACTAACATACAAAAGCATGTTTACATATTTGGTGATACAAACAATAATTTGTTAAAGCATACTTCTAATACTAATGTTAAACGATTTGTTGATACTCTACTTGAGCACAGTTTCATTCCAAAAATTAATAAGCCAACCAGAGTAATTAAAAATTCTTCTACCTTGGTCGATAATATAACAACCAATAACTCTCATGTTTTCACAGGTATAATTAAGACAGACCTTTCAGATCACTTTCCTACTTTACTTCACTAATAAAAACATAGCACCAAACAAAACCTCTCTTAAACCTCCTAAAAACAAACGAGAGATCAATGAAAACTCCTTACAAAAATTTTAAAGTTTACTAAAAAATAATGTTGATTGGAATCTTTTATTGCAATCAAGCGATGCGATCAACGCCTACGAACTTTTTCTAGGTCAATTTTGTCAATATTATGAAAAAGCATTTCCAGTCAAGACTGTTGTTATAAACAAAAAGTATCTTTTAACTCCTTGGATGTCTAAAGGTTTAATTAAATCCTCAAGAAAAAAACAAAAACGCTACGACAAATTCCTAAAAAACAAAACTTATAAAAATGAAATAGCTTACTATAGTTATAAAAACTAATCTGAAAAAACAAAACAATACTCAAAAAATCTTTATTATTCAAATTTGTTAAAAAAAAATAATGAAAATGCTAAGAAAACATGGAATATGATTAAAGAAATAATCAGTAATAATAACTGTACAAAAAACAATCTGCCTAAAAAAATCCTGATTGATGGTAAGTTAGTCAGCAATAAGACAAAAATTGCTGAATATCTAAGTAGCTTTTTTTTTTAACGTAGATCACAAATTAGCAGCAGAAATTCTGTCGAGTTTTGCAACATTTCATTGTTACTTGATTAAGAACCTTACTTCAAAAAAGATTATGAAAGAAACACACCTAGGTCTAACGAATTGCGATCCCCTATAAACACTCTAAAAAATAACAAAAGTTCGGGCTTTGATAATATCAGTAGCTTTGTCCTAAAATCAGTATTTTATATCATTGAACCATCATTGCATCACATTTCACTGAAATCAGGCATTGTCCCAGATAAACTAAAAATTGCGCGAGTCACCCCTATTTTAAAATCTGGAGATGATTTTGATACTAATAATTATAGACCTTTATCAGTTTTACAATGTTTTTTCAAAATACTAGAGCTCGTCATGAATAATAGACTTTACAATTATTTGACGGAAAACAATTTTATATACGGTAAACAAATTGGATTTAAAAAATACCACTTAACTGACCATGCTATAATTGAGCTAGTTAATCAAATATCTAATGCTTCTAGTAATGATTGCTTTACGTTACAAGTTTTTATTGATCTTTCTAAAGCTTTTGACACTGTAAATCACAACATTCTTCCAAAAAAACTCGAAGTGTATTGAGTAAAAATAATAACTTACTTTAATTTAAAGATTATTTATCAAAGAGAAAACAATACATTCAAAAATAAGTCATAAATACTTTCTACATTTTCATATAACAACTTCGTCATCCCAAAAGTTACCTTAAAGTAAAATTCATACTCAATCCAACACCGCGGACCTTATTTGTGGAAATTTTTTTCCCAGATTGTTACTATCAAAAAAAAAAACACATTTGAACAGTTTAAATCTAAATCAAAGCGTTTTTTTTTAATCTACGGACTTAAATTTTCTTTTTCTTTTTTAGTAAAATAATATAAACTAGCACAATTTATTTCTTTTATTTGCTTTAACTTTTACTTGTTCTAAATTTATTTTACAATACGAATTTATATATAAACATTATATGTTATATCAATTGTGAAACGTACTTTTACACATTTTCATATATTTTATCACAAGCATTTATCACGATTTTATATATTTTATTATAAAAAACAACCTGTAATAAAGTCACAATGGGGCTTGGTGATAAGACGAACTGATGTGTTCTTCTTGATCCAGGCATTTGTTTTATTGTTTATGTTGTTTTATAAATTGTAAATTTTTGAGGCAAAATTATAACAAAATAAAAAAAAAAAAACGAATAACTTTGTTTTGCTTTGTCATTCAACTTAACTAAATCTGTGGTTTAACGCCAGTTCTAGCCCAACAAGCGACATTGGTATGAAAAGAGGCGTGAATTTCTTGCTAAATGCTCTTTTGCGGTGCTCTGTAATAAGACCGTAAAAACTTCTGGGAGCACCTAAAATAATTACAAGTGAAACTTAGATTCGAAGAGAACTTCTGATTTTTTTTTTGTCGCAAATCTTCTAATGTTCTTAAAACTTATTGTCTATTCTAATGTTCTTAAGACTTATTGTCCAGATTCCTTAAGACACAGCAATAATTGCACTTTATATAAAGAATTAATTTTTTTTGACATGATACAACTTTAAACATTAACACACAATTTTATTAAAATAGATTTGGCATTTAATAAAAATAAAATGATTTACATTTAATAGTAGATTTTCTAAAGTTTAATTTTTTTGTTAATAATAGCACCACGTTTTTTTAATTTTATTTGCTATAAGCAAAACTCGAAGCACCCTATATGGATCAGGCTAATAAGGATTAAAATAATGTCTGGCAACGCAAACAAACACTCGTTGCAAAAAAACATCGCTAAAAAAGTTACACTCAAAAACGCCATGAAAAAGAATGGCGTTGTTCGTTGAAAATGAACAAAAAAGTACACTAAAGTTAAATAAAAATACAACATTTCAAGAAAAGCACTTACTGTTTTAAAAATTTTACTTCTTATTATGTTGGTTAACTATTTAGCAAATATGAAACAGGGCAGACAACACGAGAGGGGCGGGGTCAGTTAATAAAAATAAATTAAAAAAACTATACAAAAGAAGATTTTATCATTGAGGAGTATTCGTCAAAGGGTGATTAAGATATTTTTTTAATAATAAAATATAAGCCAAAACTTATAATTGAATTTAAACACAAATTATTGATAATGTTGATTCCGTCACATGTCAGTACTCTTGTTCTTTATATAAAGACGCGCCATTTCATCATTCAGTTCAGATCTGCTGAACAATAGCGAAACATTGCGACACAGATAACAGAAAGAATTATGGTAATAAAAAAAATTAATTTTTTTTTACTATTTTTTTCAAAATAAGTTGATGTAATAATAAAAAAACTTTATTTATGATTAACGTTTTCTTTTTAGAAATTGATAGTTGGTGTTGTTTTACTATCCGTGGTTACACATGGTGTATGTACCGATCAGACAGGTGAATAAGAAAAACAATTGCTTTTACTTCGCGTTTTGTTCACTTCTACGTGAATAAAATTTTAAGTAAACTCGCTCAACTTTTTTTCTAACTAAGCAATTTACTCCATAAATGCTGATTAATAATAGCTCTGTTTGACAAATATGAAAACTTAATCAAAATTGCTAAATTTTTTATTCGCGTAAAGCTGATCAATTAATAAGTAATTACACTTGAGTTTTTTTTATTCACCCGGCCTTATATTTATTTAAAAATAGTTAATTACAACATTAAGTTATTTTGTTTTTTGTTTTTACAGATGATTATTTCCTCACTCAGCGTAGTAAAGGAGAGATCTGAAAGATTTGCATTTCTTAAAAACAAAAATTTACATTTTTAATGTTCGTTTTTTTTCCCCGCTTATTTCGACTATTACTATAATACAATTTTAAAAAGTAGAAGTTGAGCTTTTCTCATATAACTTATTATTTTTTTATAAATCGTTATTCAACCAAAGCATCAAGCAAAACAAAACTGCAACTAAAAGATATTAAACGCATCGGGGAAGCGTCATTAAAACAGCTGAAACAAATATGTTAAGGAATCTATTTACATTTCAAAAAATATTTAATAAACGACTAAAAACATCATTTTATCTTTCCGTAAACAGTAAAAACGTTAAAGTTAAAGTTTTCGCATCACAGCAATTTACTTCCATAATCTCTTTATAGTCGTTTTAATAAAATATTTAAGAAACACATTTTAGCTTTTATACAACTTTTTCCCCATAGTATTAAGCTAAAACTTCAAACTCTTAGATAGTAAAATCAGCGAATATTTGTAAACAAAACGAAACAAGATTTTTTAAAAAAAGTAATTCAATCAAAACCCACACAAAATACAACGGCTTTTTTTGAAAACGAAAGGGCCTAAACGCAATATTTTTCTTCGGATCTCTCCTTAATTACGCTTAGCAATGAATCATACTTATGAATACCTGTAATATTAAAGTTTTATAGAAACCAAATTTACCTGTTGGAAGTAATAGAAGCTAAAAAATAAAAAACAAATAAATAACATTTGCAAGAAAGTTGGCACTTTTTTTTGATTTTTAACTAATTACTTAAAATTGCTAAAATATGTTTTTATCTTTATACTAGAGATTATTACAAATGAACAGACACTGATGAAAAGTAACTTGGTTGCGATTTTGCCAAAATTAGGAAAAACATTTTATATTTATTTTAAAATAAAATTGAACAGTTTTTCACATGGTTATAGAAGTGTCATTCATTTGACTCTTGGAGAGGATAATGTAAAATACGGTGATCGAATTCCTGGCATTTGGATTTATGAAGAAAAGTTGGTCTTAGCTTTTGCAATAAGTGGTAATAAAAATGAGTATTTTTTTTCCAAACCACTTTCATTAAACCAGTGGATACCTGTTATTATAACTCAACAAAGTCATCCGTTAAAGCCAATTTTTGAAGTATATATTAATCATGAATTAGTATTTGAAAAAGAAAACTTAAACCAAAAAGAATTTACAAACATCAACGTATATGCTGGCGATCCATGGTATGAAGTCCAGGATGGCTCTATCAAAGACTTCTTTGTCTATAACTACCCTGTTGGTGAGTTTTGTTCACTTTTGTCTAAAGTTTTTTTACTAGTTATATCTAAAATTTTTTACTTGAAACTTTTAATTACATCGTATACTAATTAGGAGGGATTGTTAATCCGGTTTAAAAATAATTAGATAATTTTTTTTTACTGCTCGTTATCTAGTAGTTTAGCGGTAAATTTTTATACTCAAATTTTATTGAATGTCAGTTTTCATAATTTTTCTCTAAATTTTCAAACTAAATGGTTTTATAATAAAGTTTTTGCTTCCTGCTCCAGTTTTATTGTATTTTATCGTGTTCTATGGGGCAGAGATTGTAAATGCGGTTTAAGAGTAATTCGATTTGATTGGTTTACTAGTAAGTTAAAAAAATTTACTGTTACGGAATTTATATAATTACTATTTAGATACTGTGGGTTACTCTGTTATATAGAAAGCACAAAATATTTCAATTGAGTTTATATAAAGTATACTCCTAATTATAGCAATCGAAACTTGAATAAGCTGAATATAGAATAGTGAGTGAGACAGTTTTTGTTTTCGACATAAAATAGTGCGATGGTCTATTGCGGAATAAAATTATAGTATAATCAGGATATAAGTTCATGGATATTTATAGTTTTTGAAAAATTATTTTTAAAAATAATTGTGATTAAAATGCTTAAGCTTTGCTTTATATGTGTTGGTCCACTTATATTCAAAAATAATTAACCGCTAATTCACTGGCAAATCGGTAATTCAATACCGCCGGTAAATAAGAAAGCAATTTTACAAACTATATTATGTTTTTGTAATATATAAAGGTCACTATGTAGCTTATAATGTTTGTTTTAATCAAAAAAGTTATATCAGTTTTATAATCTAAAGAAACTTTAAGATACTTAAATTATATTGCAGTTTTTTACTGTTATATTATTAAATATTGTGTTTACCTGTTTTTATAATGAATATTTTGTATCCATTATAAAAACAGGTATTGTATTTATTCTTTTACTTTTTTTATTTAGAAACGAAAAAAAGTTTGAAAAAGGATTCCATACAAAAAAAGATGTTTGGGCTCAAATTTTAAAGTGGAAAAAACGACTTTTTTCTGCTTTGAATTCGTACTTTTTTATTTCAAATATCTTAAAATATATCACTTGGTATTCTATTTATTATTTTGTAAAAATAATATTTTTTTATTTTATTTTGATGTTATTGGTTTCGAAAAAAAAAAATAAAAAGTATTTTAAATTACTTATACTTTATGTTAAAAATAACCGTCGTTTCAATAAAACTTCAAATTTGTTCATGATGGTAACGTGAGCTAAAAGAAACTCATAATTTTAAACACATTAAGCATATAATTATAGGCGTATGACAAATATTTAATTGCTCTTTTGAAAATCATAGTTTTGGAATAGTAAAAGAAAGAATGTATTAGGCCAAAATAAACTATTTTCAAACTTTCTGATATGGACCAATTCGGTATATAAAACCAACTGCTTTACTATATTTTGATCGAATATAAAATATGTAAGAAAGACTTGATAAATTTTTGTCAATAAGCAAAGAAATTTATTGATTCATTTTTTCGAGTGAGTTAATAGTTTAAAGTCAAATTAGGTAATTTTTTACAAAGGATATCATTTTGTGCTTTTCTATGGAATATTATATTATTTATAAAGTTTTATAATCATGAAGTAATAAAATTTTATTTTATCTAAGATGAGTTAGAGTTTATTAGCCATTTCTTAAAACTAGTAGTTTCAATGTATGGTTTAAGGCTAACAAAACCGGACCCGTAAAACGGGTCTGATTTACACCAATCGTCTCTGTATTTATTCTTTATAATTTTTTAAAAGTTTATGAAGTAAAGGTTGCATAATACTCAAGTATTACATAAACCAATACTTTTATACAAACACAGTGGATAGGAAACGCTTTTTTGTAGTAACAAAAAAATCAAAAAAAATATATAGAAAATTGGATTTATTAATGTATCCGATGCGAAGACTTTATTACCTTTAAAATTTTAATAAAATCCAGAATGGTTAGTAAATAATTGTAAAAAATGTCGGCTATCGCGTGACAAATCTTCCAGGGTTTTTTGAGTAATAACGTCGTTTTTAATATTTTGACACTTTATTTAAGATACCCCTACTCTCGTTTTTAATATTTTGACACTTTATTTAAGATACCCCTACTCTCCTCTTCCTAATATTTTATCGGCAACTGAAAAGAGTTAATTTAATCGAAAGTAATAAAAAACGAAATCAAGACCTTTTACCAAAATAAAATGCATAACAGATTTGCTTATACAAGTTTGTATACTAGTAAAAAAAATATTTTTTTTACTTATTCATAAATTAATAAATCATAACAGTAATCTATTCTTTGATTAAAGTAGAAGCTCTGCGCACACACGTTAAGTGTCATGGACAAAGTTTGCGGATATAAACATACACTGTAAAAAAAAAAGGTTTCCAAAAAAGGTTTTTCACACTTGCATAAGGTTTTTTACAACTAAAAAACCTTTTGGTGTGTAAAAAAAGGTTTTTTGAAAGGGTTTTTATAGAAAACCCCTTAGCAAAGGGTTTGTTCCTCGTAAATCATATAAGAAAATCCGAGTGCCGTTTATTGATATCGAGGCATAATTAAAGAAGGATAAAAATAGAAAGGGTTTTAAATAAAATTACAATTGCCTAGAAATATGATATTTTAAATAAAATAAATTGTATTTTTATTTTATTATATTTAAATTTGTATTTTGTTAAAATTTTTAAAGTAAAATACGCAAAATTGTATACTTTTTAAGTTAACCGATTTATCTATGAGATTCCTATAAGTCAATTAAAATATTTTTACAATTTTAAAGTAAAGCTAATAATTAAAATTTAAAGTAAAACTAATAATAAAGTTAAAGAATTATGTCTGCAAATATTAAAAACTGGTCGCCTGCAGAAGTAGCCAAATGGCTGTTAGATAATGGATTTAATGAAAAGACTGCAGCCGAATTTGAAAGTATTTTTTATTATTATGCATTTTATAGTAAACATTTTAATTGTACTGTTTACATTTCAGATTCCTGATAGTATACAATAGCCAAATATGCCCCAATTTTATTGTGAATGTGGCAACAATTATTTTTCATTTGGAAAGTATTTACGACATCTTATCTTGTTTCATGAAAATCAGCCTCTTTTTTACGTTAGATGTGTTTCAAGTGCATGCAAGCAAACTTTCAAAAGTGCTAATAGTCTAAAAAAACATGTTCAACGAAAGCGCAGTAATTTATTAAGAAGCTGGTCTAATGATAATGAAAGTGATCAGGGGAGTAGAAATAATAGAAATGATAACATCATAGATTCATCTGAAACAACCGAAGAATCAAATGATCAAAATAATGTAAAATTAGATCAAGATTTTAAATGTAAAAATATTACTGATATGCTTAACACTTTGGAAAAACATTTAGCATTTCTTCTTTTGCGACTCAGAGAAGTGCACATACTTCTAGCTTCTGTTCATGCAGAAATTGCAAAAGATATACAAAACTTACTTTTGATTACACTAAGTAGTTTTAAGGATCTTATATGTCAATATTTATTAAAAAAATATATTTTACCACTAGACAATGATTGGGCACATATAACAGACACAGAAAGATTGCTGCAATTCATGGGCGAGATGTCTTCAAATGAAAATAGACTAATTGGATTATTGAAAAGCAAAAAAATGATTGCAATGCCAAGACAAATAGATTTTAGAATAAATAATACAACTGCTGTTTTTCAATACATTCCGATTCTGGAAGTTTTATCGAAATTAGTTTCCCATGAAGATGTTTACAATTGTTTGGTGACAGTTACAATCAGTCTCTTTCTAATAATGATTTTATGATGTCTTTTTGTGACAGTGAACTTTTTCATAGTGACAATTTTTTTTCTGAAAATCCAAGTGCATTGCAGATTCAGTTATATGTAGATGAAGTTGAGCTTTGCAATCCAATAGGAGCTAAGCGAGGGAAGCATAAAGTGACTGCATTTTATTTTTTGTTAGGCAATATTCCATCTGAGTTTCGTTCAAAGCAAAAGTTTATTCATTTGGCTTTATTGATTGAACATAAATTTATAAAAATGGCCGAATATGACTACACTGAAGTTCTTCGTCCATTAATTTATGATTTAAATGTACTGCAGAGAGAAGGAATTGAGGTTTCCGTCAATGGATTACGTCAACGTTTAAAAGGCAAACTTACAGGTATATCAGCTGATATGCTTTCAGCTCATGCTATAGGAGGATTTTAGCAGTATTTCCATACTGGAAGAATTTGTCGTTTCTGTATGGTGGACAAGTCAGAAATTGGAAATAACTTTAGTGAAAGCACTCTTTGTCTCAGAACACCAGAAATTCATGAATACCACTTAGCTGCTATAATTGATAATGCAGCAAACAAGAATGTGTATGGTGTTAGCAAAAAGTGTGATTTTTTAGAGTTTGATAACTTTGATGTACTTACAGCTTTCCCTCCAGATATAATGCATGATTTATTTGAAGGCATTATGCCAGTAACTTTGAAATGTGTTATCAAACATTTGTTACGTTCTTGTAATACATTATCAGTAAATAATATAAACGATTCTATAAACAAAATTCACTTAATTAATTCATCTAATCGCCCTTGCCAATTACCTAAAAACATTGCATTAGATAAAGCACACATAAATGGAACAGCTGTACAGAAATTAGAACTTTTTCTATTGTTTCCGCAGTTAGTCGGTAATGATGTACCACATGGAAATATTGGGTGGGAGGTTTATCTTATACTTCGTGAAATATGTGACATTGTTATTGCCCCAATTGTAGATAGTGACAGTATATACATGTAGAAGAACTAGTTGCTATGTTTTTGAAAACATTTTCTGAAGTATTTGGTTCTGAATATATTATTCCAAAAATGCACATGCTTGTTCATTACCCTCGTCTGATACGTCTTTTTGGGCCTTTACGAAATTTTTGGTGTTTACGATTTGAATCTAAACATCAGTATTTTAAAAAAGCTGCCTCAAATGGACGATGTTTTAAGAATATTACCAAAACATTGTCAAAGCGTCATCAAATGTTGCAGTGCTGGGAAATGCTGACAGATGATATGCTTTTATCTAATTATACTGTGTCTGGAAACGCACCTAGATTTTTTCATAACTTGGATGTTAAAGTACAAGAAGCTATAAGATTGTTACTTAATTTAGATATAGAAGGGAATGAATCCATAGTTATAGCAAAATCAATATCAGTTGATAGTATTTTCTATTCTATTAAAGCAGTGTATGTGTTGCATACTGTTACAGAAGAAACTATCCCAATTTTTTTTAAAGTGATATACATTGTCTGTTTATGCGACTGTTGGTTGTTATGTGGAAACCTATTGACACCAAATTGTTTTTCACATCATTTGCATTCTTATCAAGTTTTGGATGAAAATGAGTGGACAGTTTGCAGAACAGGATGTTTAATTGATTTTAATTGGCATGACTATTTTAAATTCAACAACTCTCAGTATGTGAGCATGAGATATAGCGTTATGCATCCGTCTTGCTCTTCAATTTAAGGACATTTTTTGAATACTTGTTTAGTTTGTTCACAAGGATTATTTGAATACTTGTTTAGTTTGTTTATTTTATGTAGTTTGTTTATTTGAAAGTTATGTATGTTTAGTAAAACTATTGTTCTTATTGTTTATTTGCAATAGGGCATGAATTAACTGGTGACTATTTATGTGACCTTACAGAGCAAATGCTGACAGAGCTTTTACCTTTAATAAAAGATCGGATAAAATTTATTCGTCTTTTGAAAACAACAAAACAATCTGTTTCAGCAACATTAGATAATTCTGAATCTAGCTATACTGCAGTTGTATCAAGTGTTATTAGTGTAAATAATGAAAAGGGCGAAACAACAAACAGTGGCAGTTTTCCAGAAATTGAAGAAGCTGAATGTGTACATAGGTTTGTTATAGTATTTTTACTTTATATACATATATTTTTTAATAATAAAACTCTCTCATTGATTTGAATTTACTTTAATTTAATTTTAAAACTTTAATATTTGTATAATACTTGTGTTCATGAACTATTATGCATTTAATGATAAATTTTATTTTTATAAAATATATTTTTACCTTTACTTTAATTACAGTTGAATAATGTAATTTAATTCAGAGTAATTTAAGGAAATTACTCTGGTTTGCTTGAATTACTGTGATAGATTATTTTATTTATGCAGCCAGGTGCAAGAATTTCCTTTTGTATATCAGTTGCCACTTTTTCAGGATAATGTTGTAGCTAAGCTACAATGTCAAGACAAGGCTAGTTTTGGTTTAGGCTCAAAAAGCAAAGCACTCTTAATTGATGCACTATTTGATGACTTAAAAAGGCGTGATATTTTGTAAGTTGAAAATTATTGTTCTTGTTTTATACTTTGCCGACTCTGAGTTTGCCATTTCTCAATTTTCATTACATCCTTTTTTCATGATTAATTATTTTTCATATTTAAAACAATAATTTGTTCTTTACTTTGCTAGATTTATATTATAATATCAATATTAAATATTTTGTAATGTTTTATAACAAACTTTTTATACAGGTATCCAACCAGAAGAATATATTCTGCTGTTAGCTCAGCAGTTATATTAAAATATCTTTTTTTGGCTGATTATGATGGAAGTAGTGTAATGCAATTACCATTACCATTTTATATATTATTGATTATATTTATATTTGTCATCATTTGTTAAATAAGAAAATTGTATTGTAAAATTTAATATATATGTCTATTTCACATTTTAAATAAGTAATTTGAGTTTAGAATACTATTAGAGTAGCTCTTCGAAGGAAATTTAAAAAATACAGACAACCCCTTTGTAGCGAAATTTCAATTGCTGTAACAAGAGAAAAATTTGGAAGGCCTGGTGTTTCGGGAAGAAAACGAAAAGTAGATCATGTTGAAATTAATCATCCTGACAACAGTACCCTCTCAAAAACAGCTCGAGTTAAGGTATGTTATAATGTATATACATATTACTTGCTATAACCTTGTATAATTACTTTAATGTGACATTATTTAGATGTTAAAAGTATATCATGTCAAAAATGTATATTTTGGTTACTGTTCACAAGCTGATTGTTGTAAGATAATATACCACTCTATGTACAGTTGTAACTTCTTTTTATTAGTTGGCTAATGTGGTACAAGGTGAGGATGACATAAGCATAAAAAAACATCAAGATGCTTTAAAAAAAGAAATAAAAAAACAGACACCAAGCTTTGATATAATCAAAGATAAAATGAAAAGAGCTTGTGAGTACAGACAACTTTTCTGCCATGCCCACACAACTGCAGAAGTTCTGGAAGAATTTCCGTGTTTATGACTAAATATTTTTGTAAGATTATATAAAGAACTATTGTTCTTTTATAAAATGTACTTTTTTTTACAATATTTTTATTGACTTTCTTTGACAGTTATGAAAGACTATATAAAAACTATTACCTTATGAACATTTAAATTTTAAAGTATAGGCTTATTTTTGTAATAACATAATGTAGGTGAATTTTACAAATGATTTTTTTAAATTAAAGTTTACAGCAGATGTGCTTTTGCTGTATGGTGTAGATGTAACCAATTTAAAAATGAAATTTCTAACCCTTTATGATGGTGTGATCAAAAAAGCAGCCAAAAGATGCAAAAAATATTGTAAATATTCAAGAATGATAAACAAATATTTAGAAGAAACTTTGGACAATGATAAACAACAGGGTAATTTTTATTTATTTTTATTTTTCATTCTTACAATTCTGGTTTTATTGTAAAATAAAAGTTGTAATTTTCCAACATCAATTAATACTAGTTATAGTAGGCAATGAGTTACACGAGTTTAGTAATTCCACGAGTAATTCCAGCAAATATTGATTAACTTGAAAACATTTGATCATTTCTTAATACATTACACATGTGTGCTAATACTGCTATTTTATATATACTAGTTTTATCAAATGTATTATTTTGCATATATTTACAATTAAAGATATAAAAACTTTTAGATTGGAAGGTGATGTTTGTTACATTGCTGTTACCCTCATTATTTGGGGAGAAAGAAGAATTGTTTTTTCCCTTACCAAAGCAGGTAGATGTTTATTGGTACAATGTACACTATTTAGGAAATTGCACTTGATCTTTTTTTTCTATAGTCCATTTTTTATAGTCGATTCCAATATAATATATTTCTTATTTATTTAACTATATAAACTAATATATATTTTATAACAAGATGGTCTAAGAAATATTAGGAAATATTAGATCTAAGGAAATGCAAAAATTTACTGGTTTGAGGAAATAAGTTATTGAATATTTTAAGTCCATGTAAATACTCTCATACGAAGGTCACAATTTAAAAAAGTGATGTTGTTCTTTAGCTGAGGAGTTCGCAATAATTTGTATTATATGGTAATGTTTTCAAATAAGAAATTTTAAAATTGAATGATTTTCAAAGTTTTGTACTAAAGGGTTTTTAAGTTGTTTCAGTTTTTTTTTTAATGAAATTAATTATTATATTTATTTATACAGCAAATACCACTTAGTCCAGTCATATTGTCACAAGACGACGAGTGGAATATATCAGTCGACAAGGAAGTTTTGTTTCCTAAAACTATTTGCACTTTTTCCGCGGCTTTTCAAGCATGGTTTGCAGCATTTTGGATATTCAGCATTGAATTCTCAAAAGGATTGTCCAATACATATCAATTTTTAGAAAAAGTGCTTCTTGGTGGGAAAGGAAAAGTGCCAAATATTGTCAGCAAATGGGGCAACCGTCTTTGGCACTAAGTTTTATGACTTTTGTTTTTTGTCTGTTTTTGTTGTAAATCTTTATAATTTATTTATGTTTTTTTGTCACTAAATTCGAAAAAACTTCTGAATATTTGCAATATTTCTAAATTTTATTATATTTTATTGTGCTACTAGGCGATTTCTCAATTTAATTTTTGAAAATAGGTCTTAACGTTCAATAAACTTCAATATTACCTATAACGTTGAAATATAATAGTTGTAATAGTTAAATTTGTAGCAGAAAATTTGTATGATAACTCATAATAGTTTAATAAATTTGCTCATAATAGTTTCATATTATAGTTTTAACGTTATTTTCCAATTTTTTTAGTTTTGTACAACTTGTTTTTTTTTTGTACAACATTTATTGACATGTCTCTGATGTTTTTATTATTTTATGTATACTTTTTTGTATATTAATTTAATGTTATAAGATTTTAAACATCATTAAATAAGTTTTTTTTATTGAGTTTCCAAATTGCAGTGGAATTAAAGAATCTAAACATTTGCATATAAGCAATATTATGTATAAATTAAAGTGTATATTCAATCTATCCTAAATATAAAACTTTATACGTTATATATATCCAATTTTATACGTGCTTGAAATCGTTATTGCGCAATATAAAAAAATTTTGAATAATTTATAATTCAAATAAAAAAGAAAGTACAAGTTAAAAAAGGGTTTTCTAGTTTCGGATTAAAGGTTTTTAAAAAAAGGGTTTTCTAGAAAACCCTTAAAGGGTTCCACCCTCGGGACAAAGTAAAAAACCTTTTAGAGCTATTTAAAAAACCCTTTTTTTTTACAGTGTAGATCTATAAAAAGTTCTGCAAGAAAATAACATAAAAAAAGACACAATGTTTACTCAGGACAGAAACATTGTAAAGTCCATGGAGCTATTTAAAAAGAAGATATACGTAACTGCACATAGCTTTTCAAGTAGAGTAATCAAGGCTGCTGCTCTAACTTTTTTGTTCGTTTAGTCGGCAAATTTGACCCTTTTTGACTAGATAGTCGGCAAATGTAGACGCATTCGACCATTCGGTAAACTTAGACGCATTCGGTAAACTTAGTTATTCATATGGTAAGTGTTGTTATGGCAGTTGGAAAATATTAAAAAACGGATCTTTTATTTTTCTTTTAGTCGGCAACAGTTGTAATGGCACTGGGGATATAAAATGGCACTTAGGTCATTAAAGCACCCTAGATTTAAAGATTAAGGTTGCATACTCTCTCATAAACATTACTCTAAACATTACGCTAAACATTATGTGAGATTATGTAAGACTTTATTATGTGTTTCCAGAATAATTAGAAAAAAGCTAAACAACACAACCTAGCTCTAAAGCAGTGACACCGCCTGGCACTAAACGCTGCCAAGTCACACCTAAGCTATAAGTACACCGCTTGGCTCGCAAGGTTATTAAACTCGCTCAACGTAAAATCAAGTCACACCACTTTGAAAACATAAAAACAACATAATTTAAACATAAATACAACTTTAAATATGACTTTATATAACGTATATAAACACATTCTATAACAATATTAAATGACAGATATGTTTATCAAAAACTATGAAAAACCTTTAGTAGTAAATTTTCGAAGTGAAAATATAAAGACTATGAAAAGAAAATTAGAAAGTATAACATTGTTTGTGTAACATTTTTCACCTACCATACCATGAATAAGATTTTATCAATTTTGAAATACAAACTATTAAATTCTCTAGTTCTTGACCATGTAACAAATGGTTGACCATGATAGAAACACGGTTTTTGAGATGTATGAACGATCCCTAAAGTAAAATACTTGAAGCTAAAAAGATTTATTTTATTACAATATTTGAACAACCAAGGGACAATTATAGTTAAACAATTTTAAGAATTATATCTTTAAATAGCAAGCAACTTGTAAAATATATCTTATAAATGGTGATTATCAATTGTAGTATTAAAGAGTACGCAAGAGCTCAGTAATTACATGAGTTTTATCAATTCTCTCCGTTTTAATTCTCATTTAAGTCTTATTTAAGAGAGAAAGGGGAGGTGTTTTAAAAGCATCATGTTAAAAAAAGTAAAAAAAGAAATGCAATAAATAGTAACTGGTTCATGCAATAAATAGTAACTGGTTTTATTATGCTACCAATATACAAAATTATTTTTACCATAACTAAAAGTTAATTTCCAGCATTTCTTAATAAAGTTCCAGCTTCTCTCTAACTGTTGACTAATGATTAATATAGTAAATTTTACAACATATTAAATTTACAAAATTAAAACCATGTTTCAACAGTAAGCAAAATAATCAAATGACGACAAAAAAAAAACGCAATAATGTTTAAGATTACAAAAAAAAAAAAAAAAAAAAAAAAAAATCATTTAAATTTAAAACTGCTTTTAATTGTTACTATAAATAGTAAAATTCATACTTTGCTTTTTTATAAAGTGTCTAATGTAACATCAAGTTAATAGACATCAACACTTGATACTGAATTCTGGCAAAACAAATTTATTGATGTCGCCTATTACCATTAACAATATTACCTTCTTGAAAAACCACTTGAATATGAAAAGCATTTAAAAAAGCGTCGAAACTACTTAAAAATAGTATATGCAACATTGAACTTTAAATGATGACTGGAATAACAAAATCATAAAAATTTACAATGATTTGTTTTTCTATACCATACATAAATACATCACATGATAAATTTGAAGTTAAAAAAAGTAACGAATAAGTAAATAAAAAGAAAAACATCGTATATGAATTGAAAATCAATGTACCTAAGAGAGATAAGTTGTTGTGATACCAGAGTAGTCGTTATTAAATATTGTTATTTCATGATAAGCAAAATGTAATAATGGCGAAATGAGGTCATGAATGACTTTTAGTAAATAAATAAAAGCAATGAGTTCTAGTAATAAAAATACCTATTAATCATTTTTAACAACAAACACCAAAATAAAGATAGGCAAAGGTAACAACATTATGCAAAAAATTATCAAAGATAATGTTATGTATTTTCAGAATAGTTATATTGAAGGCTAGACAACTTAGACCTAAAGCTGTAATACTGCTTGACTAGTAACGTTGACAAATCTTGCTCTACAGGTTTGCCAAGTCACACTCTTTGAAATCAAAGAAACCACATTATATAAACATATATACTAACTATGAAACACAATATATTTTTTTAATGTTATATATTATATAAAAACACCTTATTTAACAATCATATACACTTTAGATTAAACACTTTCCATACTATTATAAAAACACATTTATATAAACGCATTTATAAAACAATTTTATAACAATTATCACTACATACACATAACGGGTGTTCACTTGAAACGGACTGACTTTAAGTCAATATAAATCTGACATAATGTATTGCAATTGTACCATGTGATACATTATTTTAAAGCGTTTAAATTTAGCTTTAATATGCTACATTTATATTTAGATTGAATGATTATTCAAATTGAAAATGAAACCTAATAAAGACGACACCCAAAAATGTGTGTACAACTTCTATATTGAAAATAAAGAAAAAGGCAAAAAGTACACCGTAGATCATTTTGAAAAAGAAAAAATTTCCAGATCGACCATCTATGATATAATTAAACGTGCTGATGACGATTCTGGATATCTTAGACGTCCTGGTTCAGGAAAAAAAGCTCTAAAAATGACCCAAAAAAAAGAAACAAGCGTTAAAATCAATGTTTGATCATCTGATGGCGTTTCTTATAGGAAAGCAGGTAGAAAATTTTGAATATCAGCTTCTTATGCCTATAAAATTATTCAGAAAAAATCAAAGATTAAGAAAAGAAAGAAGAAAAAGATTCCACATCGAACTGATGATCAAAAACTGATAGCAAAAACAAAGTGTGGTAGATTATATCGAGCTTTTAGCAAATTTGATTGGATCATTGATGATGAATCTTATTTTACTCTTTCTCATTCATCAATCAACGGAAACGATAACTTCTACACAAGTGACATAAACCTCTGCCCATCTAGTGTCAAATGTTATACAAAGCGAAAGTATGAACCCAAGCTCCTGGTCTGGGTAGCCTTTTCTGTAAAAGGAATGTTAAAAATTCTAATCCGTCAAAGTGGTCTTGCAATCAATCAAAAAATCTACTTAGAAGATTGTATTAGGAAACGTCTTATTCCTTTTATTAAAGAGCATCATCAAGACAGTCAATTCGTATTTTGGCCAGATCTGGCGACGTCTCATTATGCTAAATCTGTTCAAGCGTGTTTAAATTGACAAAACGTCAGATTTGTACCAAAAGAAGATAACCCTGCAAATGTACCAGAAGCAAGACCTATTGAGGATTTTTGGTCAATAATAAAAGGTTTAGTTTACAAGGATAACTGACAAGCAGAAAATTTAGAACAACTAAGGAAAAGGATAGTGTATTGCTTCAGCAAAGTTGATATCAATCTTGTAAAAGAGTTTGCAAAGGGTATTTTATCAAGAATTGATTCTATAAGAAGAAAAAATTTAATTGAAAATAAATAAAGTATCATATTATAGAGAATTAAATGCTGATTTTAAATCATATTTTATTTTTTTAAGTTGATAAAAAATAAGGGAGTTATGACCCTTTAAAGTCAGTCCGGATTTCAAGTGAACACCCGTTATTTATCAAAAACTTGTTAACTTTGAACATAATATAAAGATATATATGCAAACTATAAACATATATAACTTGATTGTTATAACATATTAGGCTAACTATTTTTAAAATATAACCTAGCTATGCTGTTAGAAACGGCACTTTTTTAGCTAAAATGCTCGATACATAAACAAAGACATTTTTTTCTCCGTTTTTAAACTTCAGAGAAAATATATTCAATTAAGGCAAAAGCATATGAAAAATGGTTATTTTGAAAGTTAAATTACTAGAATTTAAAGATGGTATACCTTAAGACACTAACGCACATAATTTGTTCAAAATTTGAAATATTATCAGGTGGGGTAAAGTGGGTCATTGTGTGTAAAATATTATGATATGTAATTATATTATCGAAATTGTTGTTAATAGCATTATAAACCAATTAGTTTCATCAGACCTAACTACTTTCGTGTTAATAATTCTTTAGAAATATTAAATATTTATGTTTAAAGTTTATATCTTTGAAATTTATTTTAAGAAAAATGTATATTTTTTTGTATAAAACAAAATATTCACCTAGGTCAAATAAATATTATATAAGACCTATTTGGTGTTAAAATATTTTGTTTGTGATATGTTATAGTTAATACTAATTTATTTCTTTAAAATTTTACCAGATTTTTCAATAATATTACTTTAAAAAGAATTTAAAAAATGCCAAGATGTTACAAGAAAAAAATAAAACCAAAGTATAATGCTGTTAGTTTGGAAAGAACAGTTATGTTAGTATGTGAAGAAAAAAAGACTATTTATCATGCTGCTAAAGAATGTTCTGTTCCTAAAGAAACAAATAGACGAAGAATAAAACAACAAGAATTTAAAGCAAACAAACGTGAAGGTCGAAAAAGTGTGCTGAGTGATAATGATGAAACTATGATTGTAGCTGCAGCTCAGTATTGTCAAAGATATGGTCTTCCATTAGATTCTCTTGACATTAATAATTTAGTCGCTCAATTTTGCACAGCCATGAGGATGAAAACTCTTTTTAAAAATGGAATTCCTGGGAAAGATTGGATAATTTCTTTTAGGAAGCGTCATGTTGATAAACTTCGATTACATAAACCTGAAATACTTACATTTTTAAGAGCTAAAAGTGTAACACGTGAAGTTTTAGATAATATTTTATCTGATGTAATCCATAATAATAACATTGTACAAAGTAGTATATACAACCTTGATGAGACTGGGCTCTCCACAAATCACTTAACGAAGAGAATATTTGTATATCCAAAAAGCAAAGATGCTTAAGAAGTGACTGCTTCTTCTGGTAAAGCTGTCTATTCTGTGCTGTTCTGTGTGTCTGCAGATGGAAGATATCTTCCACCATTTGTTGTTTTTAAAGGAGAAGGCTATCTGTATTCTAAATGGATAGAAAATGGACCACCAGGATGTGCTTTTGGTGCAACAGAAAGTGGATGGATGCAAGACTTTCTGTTTGAAAACGGGTATTTTACTTGAAATTATTAATTTTCATTTTTTTTTTCTTCCTACTTTTTTTTTGTTGTTGCCTTTATTGTTCTTGAAGATGGTACAAATTATTCAATAGAAGTAAGTACATTCTATGTTTAGGTTTGTAGAGCACTTTATACCATTTGTTGACCAAGATGAAAAACCAATACTCTTGCTTTATGATGGTCATTGCAGTCATTTAATATATGGTACCATAAAAGCGGCCATGGACAACCATATCCAAATTGTTTGTCTTCCACCAAATTGCTTACACGCATTACAACCATTAGATGAGGCTGTCTTCGGACCATTAAAGAATGAGTGGAGAAAAATTTTAAAGCGGTTTTCAAAAGAAACACAACACAAAAATATTGATAAGACAGCTTTTACAGGATTATTGAAACAACTGTGTCAGAGACTCTCTCCAGCAAAAGCTATAGCAGGAATTTCCTTTATAGTTTTTTGTTAAATTTGTTTAGCAGGATGCCCAATCATGAGTTTAAGACATCTTTTGTCAGAAAGCCGATACCTAAACATTGCTTTTTTTGAATTCAAAATCAGAAATAGGTAAAAATATGCTCAGATTACCCTACCATAACATTTAAAAAACATTTCATAAGTTTTATGTCTCCATCAGCTCGATGTTTGCAATTTTCAAACTTGTAATGATTACATTCAAATATAATGCGTTTTGAAATCGCTTAAGCTGAAAGTAATATTGGCATATAATATAATATAAAGCGATATTGGCATATAATATAATATAAAGTAATATAGGCATATGATATAATATAAAGTAATATTGGCATATAATATAAAGCGAAAGTGAAACGTGGATTGACAGTGAATTAAAAGTCAGTAAAGTTTTTAAAGAGCATTTGGGATTAACAAATATTCGGATTGTAAGAGCACATAGAACTGGCCAGAGAGATATGAGTAAACCATGAACAATTGTAGTAAAACTGTTAGATTATAAAGATAAAGTTAAAATTAAAAAAAAAAAACATCTCAATTAAAAAGTAAAAATTTTTATAATTACGAAAACTTTTGAGCCAAAACTGTCACAATTAGCAAAGCTCTACGGGAACAGATGAAGGTTGAACGAGCGGCTGGGAAATATGCATTTATCTTTTACGATTAGTTGGTTTTTCGGGATTGGGCTGCAAACAAAAGTAAAAATTTTTCTTTGTAACGTATTTATATATTCTACAATTTTATTTTACTTTTTTTGAATTTACTTTGTTTAATTATATTATTTTTTCTCTTAAAAATGGAGGCCAATTTTCCGCTTAATTTAAATGATGAGAATACTAGTGACGATAACTATTTTAATGGAAAAAATTTAGAAAGCGAGTATTATTCAATTTCTGAATTTACTCAATATCTCTTCCAGAACAAAAATTTTCTATTTTAATTGTAAACATTCGAAGTATTAAAATTTTTTTTGAAAATCTCAAACTTTTACTGCATGCACTAAACCACGAAGTTGAAATAATTTGTATCATAGAAACTTGGCTTAAAACCAACGAAAAAAATTCAAACTTTGAGTTAGGCAATTATGTATCAGTTCAACAACCAAGATTTAACTATGCTAGTGGTGGTATAAGTATTTTTGTCCACAAATCAATTAGCTTTATTCTACGTCCTGACCTCAATATTAATGAAGCTGATTGTGAGTCATTGTGCATAGAAATTATAAACCAAAACCACCAAAAATATTGTAATTATCTCTACCAGCTGGTAACTTTAAAATTTAAAACTTATTTAAGCAGTTTTTTAACCAAAACTAGCATAACACGGAAACAAGTTTACTTTGCTGGTGATTTTAACTTAAATTTACTAAATTATGCTTTAAATACAAATGTTCAACATTTTCTAGATACTCTTATAGAATATAACCAAATGCTAACATTAAATAAGTCAACGATAATAACTAGGACCTCATCGTCTCTACTTGATAATATAATTACTAACAATTTTTAAAACTGCCGTTTAAGAACAGGCATAACTAAAACTGATTTAACTGATCACTTTCCAATATTCTTAATTACTGATAACATAACCCTAAATAATGTCCCTTCAAACACTACATTCTAAACACAACAGATCAATGAAAACTCCTTATTGTATTTTCAAACTCTTTTAACAAAAAATATCAATTTGAATATTATTTTACAATCCTATGAAGTCAATACTGCATATGAACTATTTTTAGCGCAGTTCTGTAAACAGTATGACATAGCATATCCTGTTAAAAAAATTGTTTTAAAATCCAAGTCTCTTTAAAACCCCTGGATGACTAAGAAATTAATAAAATCATTAAAAAAAAAAAAAATGATGAATATTTAAGACATAAAACATATAAAAATGAAATAAACTACAAAAACTATAAAACTTATTTGAAAAAAACAAAAAACACTGATAAAAAATTTATTATACAAAGTTGTTGGAAAAATCTAGCGGTGACACTAAAAAAACGTGGAATATAATTAAACAAGTAATTGGTAAAAATAAATGTGAAAAAAATAATCTTCCACAAAAGCTCTTAATTGATGGGGAAATGATTTACAATAAAAAAAAAATAGCTAAAGAACTCAACTCATTTTTTTTTGAAGTAGGGCCGAACTTGGCGAGTAAAATTCCGTCAAGTACCACAAAGTTTGAATGTTACATTAAATCATGTAATTCTATTATGGAAGAATCTAATTAAAATCTAATCGAAATAAGGAATGCTTTCAACAGTCTTAAAAGTAATAAAAGTGCAGGCATTGACAAAATTAGTGTGAATGTTGTTAAGTCAGTCTTCGATATCATTGAACCGTCATTATTTCAAATTTTTGATTTTTTATTAAAGCTAGGTGTTGTGCCGAAAAAACTTAAAAATGCCATAATCACTTCCATTTTTAAATCTGGTGATGAAATTTATATTAACAACTACAGACCTATTTCCGTTTTACCCTGCTTCTCAAAATTATTGGAACGAGTTAAGTACAACAGAATTTACAACTATTTGATGTTAAATAGTTTGCTGTACAGTAAAGAATTTGGATTTCAGAGAGATAATTCAACAAACCATGCTGTAATCGAACTAATTAATCATGTATCGGATGCATTTAATAATGACTATTTTACTCTTGGAGTTTTTATTGATCTGTCAAAAGCCTTTGACACTTTTAACCATAAGATAATTATAAAAAAACTAGAACTATATGGAATAAAGAAAAAAAATTTACTTTGGTTTGAAGACTACCTAGCGAACAGGTCACAATGTATTATTTTTTATAAAAAAAAAGAAACAAAAAACATATTACTTGTGGTATGCCCCAAGGTTCAATCGTAGGGCCATTATTATTTTTATTGCATATAAATAGTTTATACTTAGCATCAAATATTTTAAATGTTATATTGTTTGCAGATGACTCCAATCTTTTTTATTCCAACTAAGATATAAAAGCTCTCTTGAATATATTTAATGAAGAACTATACAAAATAAACGATTGGTTTACAAGCAATAGGCTTTAGTTAAATGTAGAAAAAACTAAGTTTATTTTTTTTTCCAAACCTAGCAAAGGTGATGATGTTCGTCTAAAATTACCCAATCTCCTATTCAATAAAACGTATATTAAAAGAAAATCAATCGTTAATTCTCAAGGAGTAATAATAGATGAAAATTTGTCATGGAAACAACATATAAAAAATATAGAAAATAAAATTATAAGAAATATTTATATATTATATAAAACTAAATCATATCTTAACACCTCTTCTCTAAAAAAAATATACTTTTCATTTGTTCCTAGTTTTATCTCTTACTGCAATATTGTATGGGGTAGTACATACTATGGTAAGTTATAAAAACTTCATAGTAAGCAAAAACATGCATGCAGGATTGTATTTGGTGCCCACATAACTTTTCAATGTGAACCTCTATTAAGGAAGCTCGGTACCCTACGTGTCTATAAACTTAATATACACTAAGTTTTACTATTCATGTTTAAAACTAAACATGAACTCTTTCCTATTAAATTTTAGTCTTACTTTAGTGAATTCTTGCACAAGTATCCTACTAAACTTTCAATTAATAACTTTATTGCTCCAAAAACTAATTCAAAACTAAATTCTTACAAAATCCAAAACCGCGGACCGTTTCTATGGAAACATTTTTCAAAATTTATCACAAAAAATAATAATGTTCAACACATCTCTTAGGAAAAATTTAGAAAAGAATATAAGAATCTCTTATTACATAAAGAATTTGATTTAAAATATTTCTTTTTAAAAAAATACACAAATAATATAAATTATCTAAAAAAATAGTTATTGACATTACTTCTCTTTTGTTGCAATTTTAATCTAATTTAATTTCTTGTTGAAAAATTTTTATACTTTTAAATTATTGTTAATCTTTGATATTATGCGTTATATTATGTTATTAGTTATATTGTAACTAACGTATTTAAAATTCTTGTTATGTTCTTAGCTACTCTTCATTTTTTATAATAACTGAAAAGTTTTTAGTGTAAATTTTATGATGGGGCTTGATGATAAGACAATTTATGTCTCCTGCTTGCTCCAGTTCTCTTATTAACACTATTTATTTCATTGTAAATTTTAATATATGACAAAACTTTTTGCTTAAAAATATATAAATATATATATATATATATATATATATATATATATATATATATATATATATATATATATATATATATATATATATATATAAATGTATATATATATGTATATATATATATATATATATATATATATATATATATATATATATATATATATATATATATATAGTATATATATATATATATATATATATAAATGTATATATATATGTATATATATATATATATATATATATATATATATATATATATATATATATATATATATATATATATATATATATATATATATATATATATATATATATATATATATATATATATATATATATATATATATATATATATATATATATATATATATATATATATATATATATATATATAATGTTGTTGAAACTGTATATGTATTTATGGCTATTTTGTACATTGTTAAATAATTCTTTTTTATTTGAAAATTTATATGTACAATATTATAGTATAATTTTTAACGATTGTACTATATCTGGCCAATGATCAGTCTCAATTCTGGCCTACGTGGTACGTGGACTAATTTTTTTTAATTGAGCATATACTAAAATGTTATGTATCATTAGAAAGCCCTTTAATAAAGTATTTTAATGGTGAAAAAATTATTAAAAACGAACAATTAAAAAAAAAGTTGTTACGTTTTTATTAGCTAATTTTTGATATATGGATTTCTTGAAGAAACTGGTTCCAAAATTTTTTTTTTTACTGAAATTGTTATAACTTTGTCAAATCTTATCTAAATGCCTATAACTTGATATAAAAAGATAGATTTAATAGTAGGCTACAAGTTCATAAAGTTCTATAGATAAAAGGGATGTCAAGAGGGCCAGAGGAGGTATCGGAACACCATCGTTACCTTAAAAAAACACAAGTTTATTACACAAATCAGCATTTTTCTGATGAAATTTGTTATCTTTATACACAAAAAGTTGTTCTAATTTGCTTCCATTACATTTCCAAATATTAGTGGTATATTTTAGATTAAAAGGTGGATGTCTTTGTTACGTTTTAACACCCTCGTAGTGAAATGTTACTATCTTATAAATATTTGAACCTAAAAAACAACTTTTTAAAACATTATACTTTGTGTTAAAAAGTTTAAATTATATTTTTTTACATAACAGCATATACAAGTGGTGCATAAAATGACCTTCGGGGAGGGATGATGCCGCCCTTAACGCTCCTTCCCCCTTCTTCTGAGTCTTCTTTAACCTAAAAAAAAAAAAAATTTTTATTATTTGAAAAATTGTTTTAAACTGAGTTTATTTAAAAAAGAG